AGTGCACCGCGCGATGAAGTGAAATCGCTGGATTTGACCGAATTCTTAAGATTCCTATGGTTTTCCTATGATTTCAGCAAGAGAGCCCGGGCGGGAAAATTGTACAATTTTTGTGAAAAAGCATTGGGTTTTTGATGTTTTTATGTTGAAATGCTTGCAAACACACGGTGTTCGGTAGGATTCTGACATGAACGCGCGCGTGTGCTCTTTGTGGTATTTTTTGCAATGGATTATCGCCGTGGACGACAGGACGTCCATGTCGAGAGGAAAAAATAAGAAAAATGTTGATTTTGCATTGTTTTTTACAGGTTAGGATGGGACCACCCGGATGCGCCCGCTATCTGCCGGCCTGAGGGGGGAGTAGGAGTATATTCTAATAAGGAATAAGGATAGGAGTAGGAGTAGGAGTAGGAGTCAAGCTAGCCAGCTCGAGCGAGTCAAGCATGGCATGCCCAGTCCCGCCCGCCCTCCCACAACATAAGAAGCAAAGCTGGCACAACTGGGGCCGAAGTCACACCGGCCAGCCGGTTTGGTACAGCTGATGCGGCCGCGATGGCGGTTGCCGACGGGAACTGGCGAGCGCATGTTGAATGCCGCGCACGCATTGCCAGACGAGTCGAGAATGGCCCCGTACACCGCAGGAAGCCAGAGGTGGCCGGAGGAAGCCCGACGGTCTGACAGGACACCCCAAAGCACTTTTGTGAAAAAGCATTGGGTTTTTGATGGTTTTATGTTGAAATGCTTGCAAAAACACGGTATTCGGTAGGATTCTGACATGAACGCGCGAGTGTGCTCTTTGTAGTATTTGTTGCACAGGATTCGCGGCCTGGGTGCATGACAGAGCATCGCGAGTGCACCGCGCGATGACGTGAAATCGCTGGATTTGACAGAATTCTTAAGATTCCTATGGTTTTCCTATGATTTCAGCAAGAGAGCCCGGGCGGGAAATTTGTAGAATTTTTGAGAAAAAAGCATTGGGTTTTTGATGTTTTTATGTTGAAATGCTTGCAAACACACGGTGTTCGGTAGGATTCTGACATGAACGCGCGCGTGTGCTCTTTGTGGTATATTTTGCAATGAATTATCGCCGTGGACGACAGGACGTCCATGTCGAGAGGAAAAAATAAGAAAAATGTTGATTTTGTATTGTTTTTTACAGGTTAGGATGGGGCCCCCCGGATGCGGCCCCTAATGGCCGGCCTGAGGGGGGAGTAGGAGTATATTCTAATAAGGAATAAGGATAGGAGTAGTAGTAGTAGTAGTAGTAGTAGTAGTAGTAGTAGTAGTAGTAGTAGTAGTACTAGTACTAGTAGTAAGTAGTAAGTAGTAAGTAGTAGCAGTAGTAGTAGTAGTAGTAGTAGTAATAGTAGTAATAGTAGTAGTAGTAGTAGTAGTAGTAGTAGTAGTAGTAGTGGTAGTAGTAGTAGTAGTAGTAGTAGAAGTAGTAGTAGTAGTAGTAGTATTATTATTAGAAAGGTAATGGGTAGAGGTAGTGAAGTGGTAGTAGGAGTAAGTAGTAGTAGTAGTAATAGAATTAGAAGAGTAGTAAGTAAGTAGTGTAGTAGTATAGTACTAGTAGTACTAGTGGTAACAATATAAGTCGTCGTAGAAGTAAGGTATGGTAGTGGTAGTATTATAGTAGTAGTCGAAAAAGTATTAGTAGTATGTAGTAAGGTAAGTAGTAGTAGTAGAAAGTAGTAAGTAAAGTAGTAGTAAGTCGAAGTCGTAGTAGAAGTAGTAGTAGTAGTAGTAGTAAATAAGTAGAGTAGTAGTAGTAAGTATAGTATGTAGTAGATAAGTAAGTAAGTAGTAGTGGTAAATAGTAAGTAGTAAGTAGTAGTAGTAGTAGAAGTAGTAGTATGAGACAGTAGTAGTAGTAATATGTATAGTAGATAGTAGTAGTAGTATAATAAGTAGTAAGTAGTAGTAGTTTAATGTTAGTAAGTAGTACGTAGTAGTAGTAGTAGTCGTAGTAGTAGTAGTAGTAGTAGTAGTAGTAGTAGTAGTAGTAGTAGTAGTAGTAGTAGTAATCGTAGTAGTAGTAGTAGTAGTAGTCTAGTAGTAGTAGTAGTAGTAGTAGTAGTAGTAGTAGTAGTAGTAGTAGTAGTAGTAGTAGTAGTAGTAGTAGTAGTAGTAGTAGTAGTAGTAGTAGTAGTAGTAGTAGTAGTAGTAGTAGTAGTAGTAGTAGTAGTAGTAGTAGTAGTAGTAGTAGTAGTAGTAGTAGTAGTAGTAGTAGTAGTAGTAGTAGTAGTAGTAGTAGTAGTAGTAGTAGTAGTAGTAGTAGTAGTAGTAGTAGTAGTAGTAGTAGTAGTAGTAGTAGTAGTGGTGGTGGTGGTGGTGGTGGTGGTGGTGGTGGTGGTGGTGGTGGTGGTGGTGGTAGTATTAGTAGTAGTAGTAGTCGTAGTAGTCGTAGTACTAGATGTAGTGTTAGTAGGAGTCTGAGGTAAACTAGCCAGGCCGAGCGAGTCAGAGGGTCCCGTCTTCTCCCCCCTACCCCCACAACAGACGGATCCATTGTGGAACCACTTGATTTTGGGATTGGAGCGCGCTCCCACCTCGCAGACTGGAGGCGCTCCCGCGCACGGCTCTTTTCCGACGACCTGGCAAAGAGGAAGTTACTCGAGCCGCGCACGGGCGCGAGCGACATAATTTCCGATGAGCGTGGCGAAAACGAAGCATGCGCCGCGCTGGCACAGCACTGCCACTTGCGCGGCGCTGGGGCGAGGTCGGCATCTCACCCTCTCTCGCGCGGCCCCGCTGCCGCTGTCGCTTCCCTGCGACTCGGCGAACGAACCATGCGCCGCGCCTGCGCGGGAGCGCCAATTCCGAGTGAGATGCGCACGGTGCTCTGGCAAGGGCGACAAGTTGCCCACTCGCGCGGGCCCTTCGAAATTGGCGAGTGGAAAATATGCGCTGCGTCGAGGCGGGAGCGCCACTTTCGGGTGACGTCTGCGGGTCGTTTGCCTGCGCGTCGACGAAGTGGCGTGCGAGAAGCGTGCTCCGCGTCCGAGCGGGAGCTCAAATCTCCAGGCAAAGGGGCGCGGCGCCGAGGCGAGAGCGACGTCTCGGCCTGTCGCGCGGGAGGTGCGCCCCGTCCCGCTCTTGTCGCGACTTTGGCAACATGGGCGACATCAGGTTCATGCTGACATGAACCACGCGGATTGTTTTGCAGCCAGGATGGGTCCGTCTGGATCTGGTCGCCATCGGCCGGCTAGGTGGCGGAGAGGGCACACGCAGCACCCTGCACTTGCGGGTAAGAGCGCGGGGGCGGAGGCGCGGGCGAAACCAGGCGCCCCCAGACGTGGCCCCCAAACGTGGCCCCCGTACGTGGGCCCGAACGTGGCTCCCAAATGTGGCCCCCAAACGTGGCCCCTAAGCATGGCCCCCAAACGTGCCCCCCAAACGAGGCCCCCAAACGTTGCCCCCATGCGTGGCCCCCGAACGCGGCCCCCAGACGCCAACCCCCTAGATCCAGCCACGTGCGCGCACGGACAGTGTAAGACAGTTCGGGCCCCCCACACCCCGATGTACCAATAAGGAGTGACATTCGGAGGAAGTGTAGTAGTCGTCGCAGTCGCGGCGTGGACCGCTGGATCTCCCTCCCGTCTCCCCAAGGACCGGCGCTACATCGCGAGTCGGTCTTTGACGGCGTCGGGGCCCAAACAACGGCCCCTGGATGCCGAGCACAGCCGACGACCTCCCGCCGTGATGCTGCCACGACGCCAGGAGCCCTGGGCCCGGTGGCCTCTTGGGCCCCAGCTCGGGCCCGGCGGCGGCCGCTCGGGGCGAGACCTGGGGCCCCCCTGGCAACCGGGAGCCGCGGGAAAACGCTCCGAGGCGAGCAGATCTCCGAGGAGCCGGCGGGGGCCTGAGGTGTCTGAGAGCTGGCGTCGCGACGACAAGAGCTGCGACGTCGCGGAGAAGGTCGCGGCCGGAGCCCTGGGCCCCAGCTGTTTGGGGCACTCTTCGAGCCGGATCGATGTGGGATGGTCTCGGTGGGGCAGAGGCCGGGCGGAGGCCGCCGGGCGTGAGAAATGTACGGCGCGCGGATCCCAACACGAGCGGCGAGCACAGCCGTGTCCGCGCCCTCGCGGCCACCGGGGTCTGGGGTGCGGTGCCGCAGAATGTGCGGTCGCACGGATGCGTTCCGCGCGGGGCATGCGCGAACAAACGCCCCGCAGAGCCGCGGTGGCGCGGCCCGGGGGCCTGGGCCGCGAGGCCGCGGATATGTTGGGGCGCGAAGTCATGGAGGGCGATGGAGGGGGGGGGGAAGAGGTGTCCTCTTCGGGCCCTAAAGATCCTCTTTTGGGCCCGACTTTAGGGGCCTTAGAAAAGAAGGCCCCTTGTCTGCAGCCCCCGCCATGTCAGGGAAGACCTCCGCCACGACGCGAGGGGGGCTTTTGGGACTTGCGCCTCCGCCGAGGCCAGCCCCTCTGGCTGCGCGTCCTCGGAGGACAGCGGCGCGCCGCTGCTGCCGGCGCTGCGGGCGCCCGCGCCAGCGCCCGGCCTGCTGCTGCTGCAGACACGAAAGCGGTACGCAAACGCGGGCCATCCGTCCCAAAGTCGGCTGGAGCTGGGGCGACGAGATCCATATGCGTGTCCAGCGCCCCTGGCCATGCCCATGTGACCCCCCAGGGGCGGCGCGCATCTCGGCATCGCCCGGACGCCCGCATGCCTTCTCGGCGAGGGCCCTCGAGGAGCCTCCTGGACCCCCGAGCCCAAGCGAAAACACGCACGAGACCGAAGGACTGCGCGCGGAGAGTGGGCCCACGGGCGATGGCGAGGCGCGGCTCCCCGGCCCGAGGGCGAGGCACGGCGCAGGCGCCGCGCCCGCGGGCCCCGGGGGGCGGGCCTGGCCAGGCGCAGGCGGCCCTGTGCCCCGTGGCCCCCCCCCCCCCCAGGAGCTGGGCGGCGGCAAGCCGTGCGGGCCGCACAGCCCGCCCGAGGCCGCGGCCGCCGCCGCCCTCGAGGACGGCCCGCGCCCCCGCCGCCCCGTAGGCTCTCGCCGTGTCCTCCTCCTCCTCCTCCTCCTCCTCCTCCTCCTCCTCCTCCTCCTCCTCCCCCTCCTCCTCCTCCTCCTCCTCCTCCTCCTCCTCCTCCTCCTCCTCCTCCCTCCTCCTCCTCCTCCTCCTCCTCCTCCTGCTCCTCCTCCTCCTCTCCTCCTCCTCCTCCCTCCTCCTCCTCCTCCTCCTCCTCCTCCTCCTCCTCCTCCTCCCACTTCCTTCCTTCCACTCCGCTTGGCTCCACCCCCAGGTCGGGGCGCGCGCCCGGCCGGGCCGCGCGGCATTCCCCGCGGCCAGGGGCTTTTCGGCTGGAGCCCGACGCCGAAGCGGGGGGCTCCGCACCTAGAGCTCCGGGGGAAGGGGTCGCCCGGTGGGCGCTGGTGGAGCGCCACGCGGGCGCGACCCCCGGCAGCCCCGCTTTGGGCTGGGTCGCTGCCGGTGGGTACTCGGTCCGGAGAGGAAGGGTATGGGCCAGCGGGGACCGGGGCCAGGGTCAGGGGGCCAAGAGGCCGGACCGGCACCTCGGACCGGGGGCCCGGTGGGCCCTCCCGAGGGGCGAACGCCATCCAAGCCGCGGGGCCAGGGCCCAGGGAGGGGGACAGGGGACGGGGCCCAGGCCGAGGGGCGGGGGCAGGGAGGAGGGGGGTCAGGCCCAGCAGGGGGCGGCAGGGACGAGTAGGACGGAGGACAAGAAGCCGGGGCACGCGCTCAGGAGGGATCGGGCCCAGGGGTCGGTGTACATACCCTTTCTCTCTGGCATGGTGCCTAGGGTGCCGCCTGCAGCGCTGCCTCCAGGCGGCGCGCCTCCTGCAGCGACAGGCCGGCGGCCGCGCCCGCTCCGGGCCGGCGCCGGAGCACCGCAGCGGCACCGCCGCAGTTCCCAAGGAGGTGGATTTGCGGTCTCCTGGGATTGGCCGCAGAAGCGGCATGCGGCCACGGCGCCGGCAGCGTCGCGCGCGAAGGCGCCCTGCAGGGTCAGGCGGGCCCACGCGCGGGCCTCCTGCAGCGTGGCCCCGGCTGCGCTATGTTCCATCGCTGTGCAGCTCCCGCCGGCCACGCGGCTGAGCGCCTCCTGCTGCACCGTGCTGGCAAGCCAGGACGCCTCCTGGGCGTCCGCCGCCGCCCGCACTAAGCTGCGATACTGGGCGTGGGCTTCAGCTCCTGCTCGGGGCCCAGGCGGATCCGGGAGGCGCCACTGGGCGAGGAGCTCCTTGACGCGGCGCACCCAGGAGCCTTCGGCCTCACTCCGCCAAAGCGAGGACCCGCTTGGCCTCGGCGTACCGGGGGTCGGCTTGGACCCGGCCGTACAGGCGGATGGCCCGCTCCGCCATGGTCGTGGACCACCGGGTCGCCCACCCCATGTGGCGCAGGACGAGGGCCCGCGGGACAGGGCCGCGCACGCCGAGGGCATTTCGCGCCCACCGCTCCTGGAGGCGGTTCAGGGTCCCCGCACAGCCTTCCACGTGGACGCGCAGCTCGGCTCCGTGCGCCACCTTCGGGAGCGTGCTGGCGATCCGCCCAAGGCTGAGCTCGTGCAGCGAGAAGCCCAGGTGGCTCGTGATCGCGGTGTGCCGCCGCCCGACCCCCAGCGCCTGCCGCTCGATGGCCTGGAGGTGCGCCTGCGCGGGCGGCCCGGCCGAGCGGTGGATGCCGGGGCACTTGCACTCGTCCACGAACCCGACGCCTTGGGTGGGCCGCGTGTCCCTGAGGCCCCTCCTCAGAGTGGCCGTCTTGGTCGGGCCGTACCGGAGGTGGCCGCGGTGGCGGCGCGCGGCACTCTGCAGCGCCTGGACAATCAGCCCGCTTTGCGCCCGCGACCCTGCCTTGGCACGCACGTCGTCCACGAACGCGCGCGGCCCGATCTTCGTCTCGGAAAAGAAATCCAATAACCCCTGCCGTACCGCATCAGAGGAGGCAGCAGCCATGCAGCCGTCCCAGTCCGCGTGCCCGTCGACGAGCATGGTCGCCCACTGGTCGATCTCCCGGACATCCAGCACCTCCGCGTCCGAGCCGTCCCAGTGCGCCCGGTACGCCGCCAGCGCCTCCGGCGGCGGGTCCAGGCAGAGGCTGGCGCCCGGCGTAGCCGCGACCTCCTCGATTTTCGCCGCGTTGGCGAGGCTGTATTGGGCGGGGCTCAGCGCCCTGCCCTCAGGCATGCCGACCTGCGGCCAGAACGGTCGTGTCCGCTCGCCCCGCCCCGTGACTGAGACTGTGGTGCCGCTTAGCATGGCGTCGGTGAGGAGCCACTGTCTGCCCGCCACCCCCGCCCTGTCATGCATCGTGACCATGGCCTCGGTGCTGTCGAAGGCCTCCGCCTCGTCCGCGAAGACCTCCGCGAGGGGCCTGCCCTGGTGCGCGCAGATGGAGGCCACCTCGAAGTCAAGGAGATTGGGAACCAGGCTATCCCCCCCCGCCTCCTGAAGGTCACCAAGTCCCGCCTCCATCGCCTGGCGGTTGCACCCTGCCCAGAGCTCCTCCAGGAAGCGGCCTTCCGCGGAGCACAGCGCGAGGACCATGGGGCCGGCCCTCCTTGCGCTTGTGGTAGTTGTGTTGCAGGAGCCACAGGGCCGGGGCCCAGCCCAGCCAGAGGCTGAGGCTGGTCAGGCCGACCAGCGTGCGCACCGCCCCCAGGTGGGCGCTGTGGAGGAGGGCGCACGGAAGGCACTTGCACTGGGCCTGGAGCCTGATCCTCCTGAGGGCCGTGCCTGCCTCAGCCAGCGTGTAGGCCTCCGCCGCGTCCCAGCGGCCGAGCTCGCGCAGGGCCTCCGAGCGCTGGCGCTCCAGTCGGCCGTGCATCGCAGCCGCGTGGTCCGCGTCCCACTCGCGACCCCAGGGCGGGTTGTCCCGCCTGAGGATGTACCTGCGCGCCCCGTCCAGGACCTGCGCCGTGCCCACGCACATGCGGCCCTCATCGTCTGGGTCTCTCAAATGGCAGGCAGGCCCTCTAGGGGTTCCGTCGAATATTGCTTGAGGGCGGTGGCGGCCGCCAGCGGGTTGACGTGCAGGAGGCTTACTAGGCGGCGGCGCGCATCGTCCCGCTGGGCCTGGGCGCGCATCGACCTGGTCGTCAGTGTCGCTTCCCGGGTTGAGGTCCCCCGCCATGTGGACCCGCCCATCAGGGTGACGGCGGGCGGCTGCATTTCGGGCACGGTCATACTCCCCGAAGAGGCGGCTCACCAGCTCTGCCCGGGTGCGCTCGTTGACGCCTCGCTACCGGGGCGGTATGCTGAACCCGCGCCAGTACTCGCCCGGCCCCGTCTGCACCCAGCACGCGCCTGGGCCCGTGGACCAGTCGGGGAGGCGCGCCATTGCCCCTGCCGCGTCGCGGTGGATCAGGGCGACGACAGCACCGAACTGCAGCGTGCGCGGCCCGTGCAGCATCTACGGGGCCCGAGGGAGGGCTGTCGCAAGGTCCACGTCGTCGGGGCAGCGGCACGACATGCCGAAGAACCACGCGGCCCCCAGGGCTCACATCACCGCGCTGATGTCCTCCCACCGGCGCGGGGGGATGGCTGCGGCCCCCCCGATCTCAGCGCCCCCGCTGAGGCCGAAGTTGATCATGCCCGCAGTGGCAGTGGTGCTCTGCGCCTGCTCCAGCGGCTCCGGTGTGGGGGGGGGGGGGCTGGGAGTGCGCGGTGCAGGTCGCGGCGCGCTGCGGTCAGCCTCCGCGCCGCTGCTGCCGTGGCCGGGAGGTGCTTTCGGCCCGCATGTCCGCTGGCGCCCGCGTCGCTCCAGGCTGGGGCTGTCCCGAGGGCGTCCGCGAGACATTCGCGCCACACCGCTGGCGCCGCGGACTGGAAGCGCCCGAGCGCGTCCTCGAGCGGGGCCGTCCGCTCAGCCAGCACCTGCTCCTCCGCTTTCCGCAGGTCCGCATCTGCCCGCTCGGTGGCATCGGCATCGCTTCTTGGGGGGCAAGCAGAGGTCAGCGCCGCGACGACCTCTCCCCCGAGCGAAAACCCGTCCTCCCTCCGCGCTGCTGGGCCCTCTCGGAGGGGGCCCCATGCCGTGCCCGGATGGGGTTCCTGCTCGCCGTCGCGTGGAAGTCGCTCGCCCGCCGGTCCTGGCCGGAGAACTCGTCCCGGAGCAGTCGCAAGGCGGTGTCCGCTGCCCCCAGGGAGCCCGTTCCCAAGCGGATGCGGGCGGCGCCGTCGGCCCAGAGCTGCATCGCGTCGCTTGTGAAGAGGGCGAGTGTCCACGGGATGGTGTGCCCCAGGGGGGTTTTCTTCACCCCGATCTCCCTGTCGAGGACGTCCCAGACTCCGGCCACCCCGGTGCCGTCGAAGAGCTCCGCCGCCCCCAGGACCACGATGGAGTCCCGGTGCTGCTCCTCCCACAGCGCTCGCTGCTGGAACTCGGTGCGCTGGATGTGGGCTGCGCGTGCAGGGTCGAGCTGGCGGCCCGTAATCTGGCCCTGCGTGGTGTTGCCGGGGTCGTAGCATGTCCAGGAGGATGGGTTGCTTCGCCCAGGGCCCGTCGAGGCGGACCCTGCCATCGGTGGTCCTGTGCCAGTTCAGGGTGGCCCCCAGGTCGCGGGCCTTGACGCGCGGGACCGTGGCTGTATACTCTGGTGCGAGGTTGGCGTTCCCCAGCACTTCTCCGGGGCGGGCTGGGTCTGCCATATAAGTGTCAACGAAGACGCCCGCGAGGGCGAGGCTTTCGAACCACTGCCACATCTGCTCCTCGATGGTGTGCTCCCTGGACCGAACCGCGAACGCCACCTCCATGGCATCCGGAGGCGCCGCAGGGCGCCATCCTGGGAAGAGCGTGTTCTGGAGGTAGGCCAGGCGGGGCCGCGCCGGCCGCTCTGCCCGCAACCGCGCCCACCGGCCGTCGTCCTCAGCCAGCGGCCCACTCTGTGCGCTCAGACCACCCTGCGCCGGTCGGTGCGCTGTCGCTGTGGCCGCGGCTGGGGCGTGGCCGGGCGCGGGCCCGGGGCTCGCTGCCACCGCGGCGGGGGCCGTCTGCGGCTCGGCGTGCGCCGCGGGCCCCGCGGGCCCCGCGGGCCCTGGCCTCCGAGCCAGCTGGGGAAGCGGGGCGCGCTCGCGCCCGCCACGCGGCCCGCTTGGGTCTGGCCCCCCGGCTGGCCCCGGGGTGGGCGTGCCTGGGGCGTCTTCGCAGTCGCGGTCCTGGTAGAACCCGATGTTGAGCGGGTCGAGCTCGTCGTTGTCGGTCGGTGCCGCGGACTCGTCCGCGTCGGATGCCCTGGTCGGGGTTGGCTCATCTGCCGGCAAGGGTTCCTCTGGCGGAACTGCCGGCACTGCCGCCGCTGCCGCGCCGCCGTTGCGTTGGAGCCGCTGGAGCTCGAGCAGCCGCGGCCTGTGCCTGGCCGCCCCCTCCTCGTCGCCTACGGCCTCCAGCGTCTCCACCAGGTAGCTCAGCTGGGATATCTGGTAACCGATGCTGGGCGGCTCGGTCCACCAGCCATGGGGCTCGCTGCTGGGGCGGCCTCGGCCGCTGGCACCTGCGCGCCTCCCGGGTCTGGGGGCGCGGGGCCTGCCAGGCCCGGTCGTGCGGCGGGGTCTGCGTCCTGCCGCTGCTGTTCCAGGGGGTAGCCTCCGGTACCGCTGGGGGCGGGTCGCGGAGGGTGTCCCCGGCGGGCGCCCGGCGGCGTCGGCGCCCGCGGCGTAGGCAGGACATCCACGTTCTGTTCGGTCCCTGGGGGGGGGCTCCCCGCCGCTGGCTTCGCCCGGCGCCGACTGCCCCTCGGGCTGAGTCTGCTGGGGGGTTCCTGGTCGCGGTCGCGGCGGTGCCGTTTGCCGTCGCCCGCGGGGCCGCTGGCGCCCGCGGCGGCGGGTGGGCCCGCGCTCGCGGCAGCTCCGCCCGGAGGGGTGCTGGCCCCTTCGGAGGCCGGCGGGCCCGCGCCCACGGCCCCACGCGACGGTGCGGGGCTGGCCACCCTCTTGCGCGACGGCGGGGCTCGCGGGGCTGCGGACCGCCCGCGCTGGCCGGGCTCCCCGCGGTCGCGGCCCGGGCCCCGCCTGACATGCGCGTGGTCGTCGAGCGCATCCCTCACCACCTCCCGCAGCGACGTCGCAGGGAGGCGCTCGTGGAAGTACGCCATGTTCAGGTAGGTCGCGAGGATCCTCTCGATCTTCGTGGGGTCGCTGGTGCGGATCGCCTCATGGGAGAGGAGGCGGCGCACGGTCTCGGTCAGGGCGCTCTTCCACTCTGAGCCGCCCCGGCCTGGTGCTGCCAAGGCTCGCATGTGCACTTTGTGCCGCTGCGCGAGGAGCGGGTTCGCGATCTCGACTGTGACTCCCATGTGCCCAAGGAGCGTGGTGTCCGGCGCCGCCGGGCTCGCCATGGTGTCCTGCCTTGGCGTCGGCTGGGCGTCTGGCCGGGCGTTGGGTTGCTGCTGGCGGGGTCCTGGTTGGTCCCTGCGGGCTTGAGCCAATGTGTTCCAGCGGACGGACGGACGGGAGAGGAAGGAGCGGCCCCCCGGGTCGCCGTCCTCGACTGATCTGGCTGCGGCCTGTGGGGTGGGGAGCGCGGAGATTCCCAGCCGGCCCCGCCATGTGCCCCAGCACGCGCCGGCGTCCCGACCGGTGGCCGAGTGCGCCAGCGGCGTGGGGCGAGGGTCTGGCTGGGCTCTCCCGCCCGTCCCACTGGCCGGGTCGCACCTGCTCCCCGCATCCCACCCGGCCGCCGTCCTGATCTGCCTGCGGCCCGTGGGGTGGAGGGACCGAGGTCACGTGGCGCCCCCCCGCGTCCCGCCACTCGTCGGCGGCCCGGCCAGTGGCCAGACGCATCGACGGCGGGGGCCAGGGGTTCGCCCCGCGCCCCGGCCTGCCCCGCGGTCCGGGTATCGGAGGAGGGAGAGGAGGAGGGGACGGAGAGGACGGGGAGCGGAGGCAGGCAGGGACACACGAGGGAAAGGAAAGAAGGGGGAGGGGAGGAGGGCAGGGGGAGGAAGGCGGAGCGGCAGGGGCAGAGAAAGGGAAGGGGGGCAGGGAGGGAGGTCCCCCCAGCGGCCCGCGCGCCCCGCCGCGCGCCGAACGGCACGGGCCTCAGGGGCCGCCGGACCGCGGTGGCCCGCCCGGCCGCGCGCCTCACGGCACGGGTCTCAGGGGCGGCCACGAGCCCACCCCTGGGGGGGAAGGGACAAGGGAGGGGGGCGGGAGCGGGGGGAGGGGCAGGGAGGGGCAGGGAGGGAAGGGAGGGGAAAGGGGAGCGGGGACGGAGGAGGGAGGCGAACAGGGAGGCAGAGGGGAGGAGAGCAGGGGAGTGGTACGGCAGGCCACCTCGGGGGGAAGAGGGGGCTACTCGCCGTCGGTGCCGGCGTTGCTTCCGGCCGGCCCGGAGCCCCGGCGCTTGTCCTGGCTGTCCTCGGGCAGCTCGCCCGTCACGACGGCGATCACGACGACGACGACGACGACGACGACGACGACGACGACGACGACGACGACGACGACGACGACGACGACGACGACGACGACGACGACGACGACGACGACGACGACGACGACGACGACGACGACAGCGACGACGACGGGGCCGCTTCCGGGGCCGCAGGGTTGCCCTAGTCTGGGGGCCTCCGTGGCCGGCCCGTCCCGGCCCGGAGCCCCGTGCCCTAAGCGGCGGGGGGGGGGTTCGGGGGTCCCCCCGGGAGGAGGGGGGGGCAAGAAGGGAGAAGGGCCCAGACCCCCTCGCGTCATGAAAAAATCACGACGGGAGGTTTTTCGTCATTTTCAGCCTCTGGGGGCCCTTACCGACCCTCGGGACCGGCAAAACACGACTCAGGACGAAAAACCGGTCCCGGGGAATGGGTCCAGACCGCTGGGGGTCGACGTCATGAAAAATTCATGACGTCGGGGGTCTGGGGGGGCAGAAGGAGGGGACATGAGAGGGGACGGGAGGGAGGAGTGAAGAGGGCGAGGGGGAAGAGGACGGCGAAGAGGATGCCGATGAGGGTGACGAGGAGTAGGAGGCAGAGAAAAAGGACAAAACGGTGAATGAGGGAGGAGGAGGAGAACGGGTGGAGCAGGTGGAGGAGAACCAAGGAGAAGGGAGGAGGGCGCAGGAGGAGGATGCTAGCGACGATGACGACAAGCATGACGAGGATGGTTATGACTATGATGATGAGCGGGGGGGATGATTGGAGTAGACGAGAGGAAGGAAGGGGCGACAAGGAGGGAGATGATAAGGGGACCAGCAGCGCCTGGTCAGTCTCATTCTTGGTGAGCTCGTTGTTGTCCAAGTTCAGCCCCCGGAGCCTGAGACCTTCGTGTAGAGCCAGAACCCGAAGGCCTGCCAGCTCGGGCTCGCCGCCGAGGCCCCGCACCTCCCAGGCCCTCGCCGACGGCGGGGTCGGCGGCGGGCGGAAGGGGGGGGGGAAGTCGGGAGAAGGAGAAGGCCCTCTCCGCCGGCGGCGGGGCCACTCAGAAGCCCCCGCGCCTTCTGCGGAGGTGCTCCGTGCCTTCGGGGAGGGCGCAGGGAGCCTCTCGGAGGGCCGGGGGACTTGCGAGCCCTCTGGGAAGGCGTTCTCCTTCTCGCTTCCCCCCCCCGGCGCGCCGCCGAAGACATGTGCTTTTCGATCCAGGCGTTTTTCGAAGATTTGGGCAGCTGGGCTCGTTGTCGGGCCCCGTGGCCATCCAACATGGGTCCGGGGCGCAAGGCTACCCCTGAAGAGCCAGTCGGGGCCTCTTGGGTCCCGGATCGAAGGAATCAGATCGGCGGATGTCAGGGTTATCCCCGAAAAACCAGTCGATGACTCTCAGGCCGTGTGCTGGCCCAGCGCGCATGTTTCCCCCGTTTCGCTCCACTGGTGGCACGCAGCTTGTCCGAGGCCATTTGCTCAAGAAACTTTTTATACATTTGTGAGACAGCTCCACCCCCTCTGCCCGTCGGCCCTTGAACACAACGCCGGCTCCGGCCCGCGCCAGAGGGTGCGCGTCAGGAATTCGCTGGTCAAGGATGGTTCAGCCAGAGGATGCCAAGGCAAAGACGGGCCCCATCGATGTGTCCTCCATCCCAGTGGTAGCGAAGAACGATGACGGCTTGCTCGCGCAGCCTGAGGAGCCGAAGTTCAAGACGGCTTTGGTTGAGATTTATGTGCCATCGCAGGAAGGAGGCGGCAGCGACAAGATCAGCAATGGCCATCGTTACGACTCCATTCCGATTGCGAATGGCTTCATTAATGCGGGCATGAGTTGCCAGCTGGTGAACTATTGCATCGAGAAGCACGACGAGTTCTTTGCGGTTCTCGAGAAGTTCGATGCCATTGTGGTGCGTTGCAACCCAGGGCAGGTCAATGCGGCTGGCGGCAGCCAGAAGAAGTTCGATGATGCGATGATGAAGTTGGCTGAGACTCGGCCGGTGTGGCCCACGCCAGATGTAATGGCGAAGATGGGCGCGAAGAAGGCGCTGTGCATGATCAAGGACATGGACATCGGCTTGAAGGACACCCTCGGGTATTTCAAGGCTGCCGCCTCTGCCGCCGACCCCAAGTGAGCGACGTATGTTTGATTCGTTTGTTGTCGGGGTGCCTATCGGAGCACGGCAGAAAGGGTTCAGGTGAGACATCCAGGCTTGAGCCTCGCCCTCTGGACTCATGATTCTCTGTTGCACCTTCGTCTCTTCTCTATCGAATAGCCTTCCTGCCACTGTGCCTAGGTTTTAGGTATGAAGCCTATTGGATGTTCGTTGGGATTTCGTGGTGGACCATTTTTGAGGGCTCTGAGGTGCAGGTTTGCGGCTTCTTGGATGCAGTTTTGACGCCTCTTCGGGGCAGTTTCGGAGCCTCTTGGGGTCGCTGTTGGGTCCCTTGGGGGCCTCTTGGAGCCTCTTGAGGCCTCTTGGGTGCCTCTTGGGGCTCTTGGGGCCCTCTTGGAGGCCTCTTGGGCAGTCCTGGGGTGGTATTGGGGGCCTCGGGCCGTCTGGGAGCGTCGGAAAGGGAAACGGGCGAGAACGCCAACACTTTTCAAACAACGAAGGCCAGCCATTGATTTTTGCCTCTCAGGGTCCTCTTGGGAGGCATCGTCGAGGCCTCTTGGGGCATCTTGGAGGCCTTTTGGACCATCATGAGTCCATGTAGGGCGTCTTGGGGCGATTGTTGGGCGTCGCGGGGCGTTCCGGGGCTGTCGCGGGCCTCTTTGGGCCCTGTTGGCCCGTTTTGGGGCCCCCCATTGTTCCGAAACAGTCACGCGAGAAACCGCGAGAAGCCCCAGGAGAAGATTTCGAGATGTGGGGTCTGGGTCTCTGAACGACTCCTCGGGAATGAGGACTGAGGTTGACAGGGTGATGGTAAGGACCTGAGGGCACGCCCACTCCGTGCCCAGAGGCACGGAGTGGGCACGGACGTGGTGGCGGATCTACAGAACCATGAGAATATGATGATCATGGTTCTGACGGATCGCATCGCATTTCCGAGCTCCAATGGGGGGGCCGCCTAGGGGTATGTCAATTTGTTTTTGGTTGGAATTGTAGGGTGTGGCAGTGACTCGGGTTAGCGGTCGGTGGATTGGGCGAGGTGGCAATTATTATCCAGGAGCAGCGAGCACCCCATCCCCGAAGGGGAAAATGAGGTTCTGGGTGTGTAGCTGCCGTGGACTCATGGTTTGTTGCTGCCGTGGACTCCTGGGACATCGTCGGGATTGCGTTTTCGGGGAAGCCCACACCTGAGGTGGTTCAACCAATTTCGCCCGAGATCTCCCCTTTCTGGGTCAGAGATATCCTGTCAATTTTGTGTCGCTTGCCAGATGAACACTCGGGGAGACTGGAACCCTCCTTGTCGCCAGTCTCGGGGGAACTGGAACCCTCCTTGTTGCCAGACCCGGGGAGACTAGAACCCTCCCTGTTGCGACCGGCAAATCTGTCAATCGGGGCCACTTGTCAAACGGGCGAGGGTACTCAGCTGGGCATTGCATGAGGCGAGTTGCCCGTCCTCTGCCGTTGGGATTTTGTGAGAAAGTGACTTCGCACGCTAGTCATCCAAAGGGGTGGGCGGATTTTCCTTGCCGTGGATGCTGTGTGGCACTTCGTCGGAGGGAAGGCCCGACGTTGCCCCATCAGCCACACTACTGCTGCTGCAACGCGCCTTGCGCTTGCGGAAAAACATGAAATCATGCCGCCTTCATTCCGGCGGGTTCGGAAGTCCTGGGGCGTCGCGCCAAGTTCGCGGGAGTGGTCAGTGATATGCCAGCACCAAGTTTGGCCAGGCCTTCCATGGGCTTCCGCCAGTGGTCCCTGAGAGGCCTCGCCAACTTAGGAGCTTCGATTTCTGGCCGATCTGACTTGTGGATTCCAGTTTTGGTCCGATCCGTCGTCCGCCATTGAGATGTACATCGGTCCAATGTGAGGACTCGAGTGGTGAACCTCTTGCCTTTGGCGAAAGCCAACGCAAGTAAAACGAGGACGGTGCCGCCGGTAGAAACTCGGTCGAAATTGGCGGAGGAACGGAGCCTAAGCGCGCGCGTGGTTCTAGTATATAGTATGGATGAATACCAGGTCCCCGGGGGCCCCGCCCCGTCCAGACGGCCCAGGAGGCCTCCAGGAGGCCTCCAAGGCGGCCCCAGGAAACACCCAAGATCTCCACGAGGGCTCCGAGACGGCACAAGATCGGTCCAAGACAGTCAAGATAGTTCCTTGACGGCCCAAAAAGCTTCCATGACGCCGCAAGAGGCCTCCAAGAGGCTTTGTCAAGAGGACCACAAGAGGCTCACATTGGTAGTTCTTTTTTTCGCGGGTGTGGGAGGATTTTTGGTGGTTCTCACTTTTTCGGCTGCCCGACGCTCCAATATAGCCGAAGAGGCCCCCGAGATCGCCCAAAGACGGCCAAGAGGCTCCCAAGATGGCCCCAAAACAGCCCGAGAGGGACCCAAGCAGCCTAAGGGGCCTCCAAAACGGTCCCAGATAACCCCAAGACGGTTCTAAGAAGGACCCGAGACAGGGAATCTGAACGGACCTTTCGAGCCTTCGGCCCCAAAAAGCCCTTAGGAGACTCCAAGAAGCGCCCCGGAGGCCCCCAAGACGCCGACAGAAGCCCCCGAAAGGGCTCCCAAGATGCATGTCACATGTGCACGACAAACAGATCCCACGGGCCAGGCTGGTGCTCTCTCCCCGTGTATTGGTCTCGCTGGAAACGCTGCAGGATTCCATGTTCCTTTGGTTCATCGTCAGGCTTCGAGCCTCCATTCGGATGCGTTTCTTCGCCGTCTTCGGCCACGGCTGGGCGCCGTGCCTTGTGGAGGTCCGCGATGCCCCTTGATGCTGGGGGTCTGGAATGTCTCGAGCGGGGAGGTGTGGCCACACCGCCAGGGGGCATCCCCTGGCTCCTCGTCCTGGTGGTGGTGGTGTCGCTTTTCTTTGCTCCCACCTCGCGTCGGGACAAAAAACACGACGGGAAGCTTTGCACGAGTTCCAGCCTCCAGGGGGCCCTCGCGGGGCCCCGGGACCGTAAAACATAAATCAGGATGAACAGTCGGCCCCGGAAATCGCCCGCACATCGTGGGCCCACGTTTTGAACATATCCCGGCGTCGAGTGTCTTGGGGGGGGGAGGAGGGGGAGGAGGAATAGGGAAGAGGAGGAGGATGACGAGGAGCAGGCGGAGAAGGAGGCAGAGGAGGAGGAAGAGGAGGGGGAGGAGGAGGAGGGAGGGAGGAGGAGGAGGAGGAGGAGGAGGAGGAGGAGGAGGAGGAGGGAGGAGGAGGAGGAGGAGGAGGAGGAGGAGGAGGTGGAGGAGGAGGAGGAGGAGGAGGAGGAGGAGAAGAAGGAGGAGGAGGAGGGCTGAGGGAGGAGGAGGAGGAAGATGAGGGGGGGGGGGGAGGATGATGCTGAGGATGAGTAGGGGAGGAGGAGGAGGAGAGGAGGAGGAGGAGGAGGAGGAGGAGGAGGAGGAGGAGGAGGGGGGAGGAGGAGGAGGAGGAGGAGGAGGAGGAGGAGGGAGGAGGAGGAGGAGGAGGATGAGGAGGAGGGAGGGGGAGGAGGAGGAGGAGGAGGAGGAGGAGGAGGAGGGAGGAGGAGGAGGAGGAGCAGCAAGGATATTGCGAAGGCCGATTGGCTACTCTGGGGCACACCTTACGCGTACACAGTCATCATCAGTCAGCCAGGCCTCAGGGAGTCGGTCTTGGATGACGGAGGCTGCGTCGACACACATAGGACGCTCATGTTGGCGAAGACCATCTGCAATGAAGCTTGGGATAAAAGCGACAGCAGACGGACAGCCGAAGTGCGAGCATTACAAGCGATAAAATAATTCGACCAGCAGCAGTGGCAGCAGTGCATCCTCCAGGGCTTCGATGCACTCAGGTTGCAGAGACACCAACTTGATGTACTTGCGGGGGGGCAGGGTCATCTTCGCAGCTGTTACCATATCGATCTGGACAGAGCCCCCCTACACTTACTACCACATCAAGTCACTGCTCAATTATCCCAAGAGCTCAAGGATCAGGGCATGATATACCGCCAAGGCACGACGGTCATCTTATGGCAAAAAGCTTTCAGAAGCCCCATCAAGCGCGCTCACCTGCAACAGCTCGCTCAGGGTGAGTACGAAGAGAACGATGAGACAACAGACCACGTCAGGCTCATGTACAAAGAGCACTACATCTACGAGGACGTTGACGGATACCACCCGCAGGACACGCGCTACATCACCAACAACGACTACTGCATCATGGCATACCTCAGCTCCCAGCAACTGCAACAAGTGCCTCAGCTACGTGATGGGCACGTCGAGGTACGGTACGCAGTATGCAGGGCTACAGTGGAGGAAGCACAGGCTATGATGGCCAGATGGATGCTTACAGATCAGCTTGAGGAAGAAATAGACCATTGGGCGACGGAAGCTGCAGTCTGGTCACCGCCAGAGGCCCAGGCTGACTGGAACATGTGGTGTTTACCCCTGGTTGATATGATGCTCAGACAGGATCCAAGCCTACAAAGGCTCTGGACCACAGATCATGAACGACGCATTATGACCAAAGATATCTGCGATAGGGTTTGGTACTCAGGGCACCAGGCCAGGCAAGAGTTTCTTCGGCAGTATCGCCAGCTCTTCGACACCGATCGAATACAATGGCTACATATGGTCCATCAGATACAACAGCAGCTACGACAAGCACGTCAGCGCTTAGCGGGGATGCAAAGCATTGAGATCAGCAGTGGCCAAACCGTTGATGTTTACATTACCAGGCTTGACGTCCTTATGTGCAGAAGATTATTCACAACGTCCTTGCTGCAAATCGGAGACAGGCCCACGCCGATGCTGGAAATGGACCATCCACCCGACAGCGAGGTGGGCAATCCACTACTACCAGAATTCACGGCAATGGACGCAAACCCCGACGTGGAGATACCGCTATTAGGGGAAGAGGTCGAGGCCGAAGTCGGTGACACCGTAAGTTCGGATGACACTGACAACGTGGTGCTCCTGCAGACAGCGGCTGCCATCAGCATAGACAACGAGCATATACAGTCCGTCTCGAGCTACTACGTCAACAGGCTAAGAAAGTACCTCCTCCTCAGAGTAAGGACATGTATCAACACGTACAAGGTGCCGCAAGATTGGATGAAGTGGGGCGTCCCACACATCATGGCCGACATGTACGTCTTCCCCATTTACAACCAGATAGCTAGTACGCATGAAGACAAGAGGAAAATGGCCATGGAGATGTGCGTGGAAGCCTGGCATAAAGGTCAAGATGGCAAGGGGAAGAACACCCGAAATGACAATGCATGTTACTCCACGGACGCCGACAAGGTGCGTATTGAAGGTATTTATGCAACTCCTGACCAGGGATGCGAAATGAAGGAGTGCCCCAGCACCTGGAGCATAGTTCAGCAGAAGCAGCCTATCAGAGCCCAGACCAGCTGGGCAGCCCCTTTTGCACCTGAGCCAGAACAGCCACGGTACGAACAGGTTGAGGCTCAGCGAGCAGAACTTCGCTACAAGTTATCCACCACGGCACGGGCATGGAGCTTCGAGCAAGCAATGTGGGACGCGAATGTGGCATACACCGACTGGCTCTATTGGTGCATCCCTGCTGTCACAAGCGATCTACTACAAAGACCAGAGTACAGCCACAACCTGCAGGAGGACCTGGCTGCCTTGGCTCAGCAGATATGCAATGACTCATGGCATTCGGTGCAACCTCACCTCAAAGAAGTTGTACAGCGACTACGGCGTGAGGAGGACGTTGACGAACGAAGGTATCGTGCTCAGACGCTGCATGGACTACTTCGACTACGCAGAGCACGAGCACAGTTTGCGCTGCGTGCACAAGTCCCAGGGCACGTGGATCTAGAGCGAGATCAACTTCAGCAAGTACTCGATGACTTGGAGTGTCAGGCAGCAGATCGCATGCAGCCAGGACAACCAACTGGCAGGACGGCATGGCAAATACTCGCGCAGGATGAACATGATCCTCCACAGGTCTGGCAGCACCTGCTTGCAGCACATCGTGCCCACCAAGCTGTGGATGACATTGCAGTGGAGCCTCCAGCCCCGCATCAACAACAGGATGGACATGAGGGAGGGGCAGAACTAAACGACGACATCAGTGACGTCACCAGCATGATGCAAATTGACTCTTCTACGCAGAGTGTCTACGACTACATCGATGGCGCGGCTCCCCCTCCAATGAAGGTGGAACAGACGCAGCGCTCGGAGCATCCCACAGGGGAGTCTCGCGGTGTCTCACCACTGGAGGAGGGGGTTGAATCTTCAGACCATTGGATATATGGAAATGGCTATTTCAAAAACAGCAACGGCACCAATGATGGCAGCGAGTTGATAGATGAGGCGACCAGGCATGCTGCTCAAGGACCTGGTCAACAACAGGATGTGCCTCACGAGCGTCAGTTTCGAGATGGGCAATGCGCTGGACACAGCGTGGCGGGATCGAACGGGAAAAAGAATATCAGATGGGGGGAGTAACCATCAGAACCTATGACCCTGATGTGCCCGCTGCCATCCAAATGCAGGTGACTCCGCTCAGGGCCCGAGCCAAACGGGTTCGTACTCGTACCGGGAGTTGTTCTGGCAAACTCGTCCTAGTGAGGAAGGGCCGCAAGCCGCCGTCCCAGGAGAAGATGTGCCCCAAACAACCTCTCAGCAGGTACCCAGGTGCCGTCTCGACCAGGCCCAGGCACATGAGGACGCTGGCAGGCCAAACACGGGCTGCAGCCATAGTTTAGTAGGAAATAAGAGTCCCGTTGCTAGGCAGTCTGAAGCTGTTCATTCTCCCGCCAGGCTAAGCACTGACGCAGATGCATGGTCTGAACTGAGCCGCGCCGATTTTCCAACTCAATGCAATGCTGCACAGGCGTGCACAACAAGCATGCCGAGCAGCCAGCATGATAATCGGGAAGGGCGGGAGGGGGGCGCTGGCAGCGAAGTGCCCGCTCAAGACTCCTCGGACCTCAGCAGGGCAAACCCGAGGCCAGCAAATCTGAGACAGGTGTTGGACTCCCCTACCCCCTTTGGCTCGCTTCCGTTGGCTGCCATCCCACCGCGTGCGCAAGATCAGCTCTGCTGTCCGTTGCACGCTTTGCCCACGCTCAGGGATGTACTGGGAAGGGAGAGACCCCCGAGACTGGCGCATCTCACCGTTGAAGCGATGGCCGCCACCGGTGTCCTGGAGGGTCCTGCCCAAAAGGCGATGACCTACTGCCCATGCCGCTCCGCGTCCTGCGACCACATCTATGTCTACTCCGACGGCTTCTTGTATCGGGAGGGGGGGGGCAGCGGCATAGGCAGTGGTGATCACAGGGCATGACCAACAGGGGTTCGTCGACATGGGGCAGCTGTACGGTGACATTGATGGGTCGCATGACATGGAGCTGTCAGTAGAAGCAGCCAGCAGCACGACTTTAGAGTTGCTTGCTAGCATATGGGCCCTGATATGGATAGGCACCACCCGCCCAGGCTGCATGGTCAGCCCCATCAGCGACTCCCTCTGTGCGCTCTCCACCTTGGGAGGGTCTGTGCTGCCAGCGTCTGACAAGGAATTAGGCACAGTTGCTCACGCGATGTTCCAGACGGTTCGGTCCCAGGTCCACTTGGACCTTCAGCGCC